GGCACTCCAAACGGCAGCGGCAGCTCCAACGGCACTCCAAACGGCAGAAGGGAAAGCAACAGCGGCAGGTGCCAAAGGTCTTGGGTCTGCAGCAGAGGTGTTTGGTGGGAGTAGGGAGCTCTCTGCGCTTTGCCATGATCACCCGTTAGGAGCGGCTGGTGGCGAGGCTGCCCGCGGGGCGCTCTAGATGAGGATGAAAGGAGGGAAATTAAGTTACCCCCGAAAAGACGGCCTAGCCGTTTTTTCAGGGCTCAAAAAAAAATAAGGCCCGGCCTTATTATGTGAGAAACACAGTACATATATTCATAATCCTTTTTTTTAAAGAATATAGTGTGTATTATAAGAATGTACCAAGCAGAATTCGATTGGAAGTTATGTATTATGTATTATATTGAAGGTATATACCTATACCTTAAGGTATATATTGAAGTTTAAATAAGAGTTGAATGGATGTAATTAAAAGATATAAAGGTGTCATACTCCAATTAGTAACTACAGGAGAAAATTTGTTTAATGAGAAAAGATAATATGAAATTGAAACAGAGCAGACAAAAGTATAAATATAATGATTTGAATTGAGATGAGATAAAATAAAATTGAGAAAATTAAAAGAAGAGAAAAACTAAATAGAAAATGTAGAATAGTATAAGATATGGAATAGAACACAAAAATGAGCATGAAATTGAGTTTGTGTCTGTATAAAGAAGTCCAACCCGGGACCATGCTATTTTCAAAAAAGATGTTTTACTTGTATTTTGTGTGTGTGAAAACCCAAATAAAACTTCATTTAAAAAAAAAGGAGACAAAAGTAAATTTCAAAAGGCCAAAACCCAAATGTCCACCAAGAATAAATAGCTAATAGGGAGGGGGATAAGCCCAAAGTCAAAAAAAGGATAAGCCCAAAGGATAAGCCCAAAGTCAAAAAAAAGAGAGCCAACTTTCTATCAATAAGAGAAAAGAGAAAAACACACTGCACCTGTATAATATCTAAGGCTTTTTGTTGGATTCCAAACAATTTTTATAACTGTCTTCTCTAGGGTCTTGTAATCTTCTTTCTGTAAATTCCAAACTTTCTTTCAACACCAGACTCCAGCCACTGATAGAAACCCAGAAGAGATCTGTAATAACCCTTTTCCATGCTCTTCCCTCTATCTTATCAAATAGGCCCAAAGTCCTTGAAGAAAAGCCTTAGTTCTTTCTCAGCTTTGTCTGTTCTCAGAAAGTGAAAGAAAAACAATGTTTCCAAGCCTCTGGGTGGCAGTGTTACATATTTTCCTCTACTTTCACTTCCCCCCTCCTTTTCAAAAACAAAAGAGTTAAAAGTATTTTAAAGAGCAAAAAATTAATTTAAAAAACTTAAGAGAAAAACTAAAAAGGAATCTCTAACATAAAGTAATATGAGAGCAAAAAAGAAAAAAGAGAAAGAGAAAAAAAAGATCGACAGGATGCACTCTTTACTGTTACCGTCTCTTCAGGACAGTTTAGGTCCAAAAGGACCGTCCAGCAATGGCGATCTTGGAGCTTCAAGATTGCACATTGTACTGCCACGACACCAGCCCCACCTTCCTCTTCATCTTTTTGTTATGTTGATGTATTCCCATTGTGTTCGTTATTTATTTTATTAGTTTCTTAGTTTACTTCTGTTTACACTCTTTTCATTTCTTCCTTTTTATTTCTCTAAGCCTCTAAAAGTTGCCCCATGGATAGATAGGCGACAAATTAATTAATTAATTAATTACATAAATAAATAAATAAATCCAGATCTACATCCAATACAATAGAGTGTTTGAAAAGGCAAGAGTTGCCACTATTTTGGGGATAGGGCTTTTAGACTTTTAATAATAAGCATAATATTGTGTAATTTTGGTTCTCTTTGAATTTGGTTGATTTATTAAAAACATTACCCAATAGATAACATCACCAGTGAGGGTGAGGGTGGGGCTGCATATATCTGTAGTTAATGCATATAATCAGTAAGCAAAGCCCACAAGTAGCAACTGGAAATAGCCTTTATGTGTTGTACATTAGATTTGCTCTATACAACATACATAATGCATAAAGGTAAAGATTTCCCCTGACCAGCCAAGGGAGCCATCATTGTCCAAAGACATTTACATGATCACATGGATAACATGACTATGTGCCGAATACGGAATACCTTCCTACCGAAGTGGGAATAATGCATACAAACTTAGTGTTTTCAATCGCATAGCCTCTTGCTGCAAAAAAAACAAAAATTTTCTTTTCACCTTTTGCTTAGAGCTAGCAGACAGAACCCTTCTTTGCTTCAGCAGCTGTTTCCAACTGGGTTGTATTTATTGGTTAAATTTATTTTCATTTCAAAAGTGTCATTCATTAAAGTTGGCATTCTTTCTTATTAGTTTGTAGACTTTTTTTCTGGGACTGGGAGTTAACATTTGACACAGTAAAAATCCAATCGATGTGTTTTATTTTTCCTTTTGATTTAGAGAACTTCACTGGCAGAACTCTATACTCTGTCAAAGCCTTATTGCAGGAAATACCACAGATAACTCCCAAGATTTCTGAAGTAAATTTGCATTTTTTGGCAGTGACTTTTTCCCCCTTTAAACCAGAATTTTTTTATAAATAATTCATGTAGTCCAATCATGTGGGTGACTGGTTTTGCTTCCTACACATTTGTCTTAGATTAACAGATTGTCCAAATGCAGCATGCCTCGTTATGTGTTCGACTAAAAATCCCATCAGTCCTAGCCAGCATTATGAGATTAGGGAATAATGTTTTAGGTTGTATAATAATAAAACAAAGAATAAAAGCTAATATTTGTTAAAACTGTACAATATACACAATATAAAAAAATATACACTAGTTGGTCATGTAAAAAATCTTCCAGCTTCAGCCCTATAGATGTATGTTAACTATGGGAATTTGCCATGAGAATGCAGTAATAGTTCTAAGGCTGAAAAACAGCCATACGTTTTTTTCAGTGCCATTGTAACTTAGAGACGTCACTAAATGAACAGTTGTAAGTCAAGGAATATCTGTTTTTAGCTTTGTTTTTCATGCCACGACACTACTTTTGGGCTCCATTTGAGATCAGGATTAAGGAAGGATGATTTCATTTGAAAGGTAGTCAGGGTTAGATAGCCAATGTGCTGGATTTGTTCCTATTAGTTTCAATTAAGATGGACTGAATAATATTATTTGGAGCACACAACTCTCCCCAGGGCATCTGGTGGCTGGAAAATAAGTAATTTCTAACTCTATATTAGTGGTATCCATGAAATAAAAGGGCTGGATTTGCACAGGTACTTTCTCAAAAAGGAGAAACAATTTTGACAGTTTTTTTTTTGGTCACCAAGTTTAATGTCTAAATTATAAATATTAGAGAAATGTCTGTTTGCCTTCTGTAGTCATTACTTTCCATCAATGCTCTCAAGCAAAATATAAAATGAGAAAGGGTTAATATCATCACTCTGATCTCCCGAAAACACTTTTCTGATTGAATATCCATCCAGATATCCAAGATAACACAGCTGTCCTTTCCTTTTCTAACCACTGCGAAATTCCAGCAAATGCATTCCACTTTAGCTCTTGTTGAGCTTTTTAATATTTACAGCTGTCTTATTTTCAGTTGAATTTAATAATGTCTTCCCTTGGGGACCAAATTGAAGTTGTGCAACATGAAATTATTGGCTGTTTGTGAAAAATAGTCTGTGCAGAAGGACTGCCAAAAGAAAAGTGATTTATGAAATTGTGACATTGGAGGTATGCCTTTCTCTCAACTGATTAAATAGAGGGAAGGAACACTTGAAGGGGAAGGTGTTTTCTGAGATAAACTATTGTCAGTACCAGATTCTTTTGGCTATCTCTTTCTATTTCTTTTCATCACCCCCACTGCAATCCTGTTCACAAACAAAATAAATCTCAAGCAAGAAGTTACAGCAGAACAGGAACATTGGTTCAAGGATACAACCCATGTTTCCAAGTACTTGGAGAGCTCTTTATGATCTGCTTTTTATTCTGACTGGAGAGGCTGTATCTTGGAATCCACAGTTGCAGTAATTGCAAATATTATTGGTGTCCTTCATTTACTCAAATGGAGGGGGAAATGCATGTACTCTTCTCCTCATATCAACAGGTCCATTGCTGGCATTTTCCCTGAAGTGGGACTATGAATTCCCCTAGCAGGTACCTGACATTATGACAAATGTTTCCTTGCTGCAAAAAATTGCTTTATGATAGTTGAAAGGCTGGGAAAACAGTGATGAAGGTACTATGAAAAGAATGGAATCAAGTAGAAGAATGGAATCAAGTAAATTCCACTTAGAGAGAGCATATACTTAATCATAATCCTTTTTACTATAATCAGATATTTAAAAAAATATAACCAGCATCTCACCTATAAATCTTTTCTGCTTCCTTTCAGCTTTTTGATGGCCCTAATACTCAGTCCACTTTGATTGGCACATTTTGTGGAGATAGTATTCTCCCATCTGGAGTGACCACGAATTCCAGTCTTCATGTGGTGTTTTTTTCTGATCAAATAGATGAGTCTACTGGATTTCAGATGCTATGGAAAGTAAATGGTAAATCATATTGATATTTTGGAAATTTGGCAGAAATGATTTCTACCCCAAATCAGCAGGAAACTATCCTCTGAGTTAAACCTGTAATGTGGTTTTTGTGTGTGTGAGAGAGAGTTGCTTTCTTTTTGTTTGAGTTTTAAATTTTTGTTTTATATTTTCATTAACCACGATCATTTTGTCTAACAATTTGACCTCAGGGCTTGGCCATAACAATTTTTGGTAAGGAAAAAAATGTGATATTCTCCGAGAGACAACTGTGCACTCTTGTAATTAGGAATACAATGATTATAGCAATGTTACATTTTAAAAATATTTAAAAAGTAGTGTTAATAGTGACAACTACTCTAGTGCAGTATAGGGTAGCGTAACATAGTATAGCATAGTGTAGCATAGCATAGCATTATATTATTATAAACTTTTTTTACAGATTTATATTAGGAGTGCCAATACATTTTTAAAAAGTCATACAAGATAGCTTTGACCGGAAATGCTCTTCTCTCATATGATTACCTCAGCTGGTTGTAAAGTGGAAAGTATTTCAGTTGATGTTGGCATTGTGGAACAAAATATTAACACTAATAGTACAATGTTCTCCTGCCCAAAACTGTTTGAAGAGTTACTATATTGGCATGATGCTATGTTGCTGGTGAAGGGAAGGGTTGTGGTGGGTGGAGGATGTCAGTTGTCAGGAAGAATACCATATTCTTCTGCCGACATTGTAACACACAAGGGATAACCCTGAAGAATCTTTCTACTTGAATTTTCGGTAGAGAATATCCATAGACAAACAAGAGAAGCTTAGCATGTATTGATGATAAATATGGCCCTGTCCTAAGATCTGAGCATATCTGAGTTTTGTTACTGGTAACAAAACTGGAGCTGTTGGAAACTTGATAACTTTGCACCCAGCTGTAATTAATACTTCCTTGCAATGTAGAAGTTTTCTCCGAGAGACAGATCCATGCTTCTCACTATCAGTTGAGGGTTATGTCCTTTTTCCATTTTAGTTTCCAGAAAAAGTACTTGTATATGGGTGGATTGGTTTGTTTATTGTTCATTTATTCCAATATTAGCAATTATATCTTTCGTTGATGTACATTTTTTTGTTATTATCACTGTGATCTATATGATAGATAAATTCTCTGTGGAAAATCACCCAGCTATCTAAAAATATTAAAATAAACAGGGAATCCAAGGATTTTGGTGCTATAACCAATGGCAAGATAACCCTAACCTTTATTGTAATTTCTTTTATTATAAAAATATTAAAAATGAAATTCTGTTGCTTGCTCTCAAAAGAAGGTATATATCTACTCATAGACATACTTCACACATATGTACATGCTATAAACATACACATACATACATACATGCATGCATTAATCACTATCCATTTTGAATACATAGCAGAAAGAGGAAACTTGAGAGTTCACAAGCTTGATACTATAGGGAACAAAACTGTGACTGAATCTGGATGTTCTGCTTCAGATACCACAAAGCTCCTCCCAGAAAGTAAAGGTCGTGAAGAGGATGTGTAGCATCTCAGACAATACTGTGGATTCTGGTCAAGCATCGCTTATATGCTATGTCCTGGATAGAAAGAAGTGAACTACCAATAAACTTTTCTGCCATCCTCACCACTCTCTCCACTGCCTTCCTGTCCGAAGCAGTAATGCTTCCAAACCAGACTGTTATGCAATTTGACAGGATGCTCTCGATTGTCCCTCTATAGAAAGTGGTAAGGACAGGGAAAGGAAGATGAACTTTTATCATGCAATGCAGAAAATACAGGCACTGCTGTGCCCACTTCATAAGTATCTCACTGTTGAGCAACCAAGTCAGCCTGCTCGTTAGCTGCGTATGGAGAACCACAGGTGAATCATTAATACTCAGAAGTGTGTAGCTGTGCCCGCCTTTTCTGAAATCAACAATGGTGTCTTTAATTTTTCCTAAGTTTAAAACAAGGCTGTTTTTGTTACACCAGTTCACTACTTCCTTGCGGTAAGCACCCTCATTGTCATCTTGAATAAGACCCACTACTGTTGTATCAAATGGAAAGTATTATGTATTGTAAAATATTTTATACTATTATCCCACAATAAGCTGGCAATTGAGCTCAGACCAATTTGAGTTTACAGATGACTTTAGCCCTTCAAATGCCTGGGAAATATGGAATGCTTCAACCTGGTATTGAAAAGTTAGTTGGAGTGTCACAAGGGGGGCACAAAATTGAAAATATTCTGTCTCTTTTAAATATTCATCTAATTTTAATTGGAAAACTATTTTTGGTAATAAACAGGTGTTAGGTAGGTATGTAGAGCTGGAAAAGTAAATTCTCTCTTGAACTTGACTCCTAAATTCCTATGGATTTTATGTAGTTTTATTTTTACAATAATATGGAAGTTACTCATATTGCATTCTTCTGGGATGCTTATTTTCAAGCCCTCGGTCTAGTCTATAGTTCTAAGAAATTCTTGGTGGTCCAAGCTGATGAAATAATTTCAAGATCAACCTAAATCAATGAAGTGCTATTACCATTTATTCATATTTGGGATCCTGGAGTCTCTGATCCTAAATTATTCAGGTTTCAAAAAATCAGCAACTCAATCTTGGAGATCGAACCCTAGAAATTGTCAGTTATTTGTAAGGCTGCAACCATCCTTTAGAGCCTGAGTACTTTCCTGGCCAAACAAGCATTAATGTGGTTTGATCAAGATGATTATCATTGGTTTACACCTGCCTTTGATGCATGTTAGGAAACATTTATGTAATTTTGCCAATGGAGCTATGGAAGGGTGATAATCAATCCTTGCAGAGAATGTGAAGATGATGTAAACAGTAATTATATTTCTGTATGTCCCCTCTGTGCCTAATCTCATTGCATTTATTAAATTTGTTCCCTGAAGCTGTACCGAGTCCCTGGCTGGCTTGATCTGTTGTATTACATTATTACACAGTATCTGAAAGTGAACTCCTTTCCAGGAAAGCCTTACAGAATGCAGTTATTTGTCATTCTGGCTAGACTGGTCACTCATTTTGTATTCAAAGGGTGGGTAAGGGGGGGAGGGGATTAAGGGATCCTGGCAACATTGAAAAGAGAAGGTTTATGGGAAGCCAGCGGCTCTGCTGAAACTCAGCAGGGAGAAAATGGAAAGGCGATAAGAGTGAAGGGCTCTGAGATGATGTCATCCCAGAGTTATACAAAGGAAAGCGGGAAGCTGATTTCTTTAATGGAGATGACATCATCCAACCAGAGAGGAGTTTCTAGACTCTTTTATTAATGTGTAACATCAGTTACATGCACACGCACGCACACACAGACAGACAGAGACAGAGAGAAAGAGAGGCATACATGAATGCGCACTTTAAAATAATGAATACATTATTTAAAATAATGTTTAAATAACAAAATATTTGACAAATTGGTTATTCTGAAGGAAGGTTTAAACAGGGTTTGGAGCTGATTTGATGATATATTGTCAAGGTATTCAGGAAAAGTGAAACAGACTCCTGACAGCAGTCTAGACCATGAGATGAAATTCGGACACTGTAAAATTCCCACCAAGAAGGGAAAGGAATGTGAAGGTGAAAAGAAAGGAGCTTTCAAAATCCACAGGCATTTTGCTCTTCAAATTCCTCTTAGGCTTTCTTGTCATCATTTGTACAATGCTGATTGATTGTATTAGTGCCTTGTGGGAAAAATAATATTTTTCTGGCACATGAAACGTTAACAAATGTATCAATGCCTAAATTTTTGCAGCTCACGGCTCACAAAACACTTTATGAATATTTGGGGGGGGGGTTGTAATTGTTCTTTCCTTCAAAAAGGAAAAAGAAAAGAAAAACAATTCTTGCTTTTAGCAATGCTGTTTGGTTACCTTTACATGTTTGTATTTTTGCTTCTGTTTTTTTCTTAATCTATCACATATTTTTTCAGCTGACCCATTTTCACCGTAGTCTTAAAAATCTGTGCAGGCATTGGTCTTTTAGCTAAACTTTGCTCCTTTGCTTAGATTCAATATTTGCTTCTGATTCTTCATGCTTCTCAACATTAACAGGAATGCTACTTTTTTGTAGGATTTAATGACAGCCAGTTTCCTTCTGCTCCCTCTTAAACCAAAGAAGGTCAAGTCATAATTACTTTAAGTGCCTTTCTTATACTCCCTTTCTTTTTTCCAAAACAAAATTGCCTTTAATTTTGCTTCAGTTTTTCATTCCAACTCTTATTAAGGGTTATCTCTGCATTTTTCTTCATGGACACTTATGCATGAACTTCAACTCACAAAATTTCCCAGCCAGCATCATAAATCTGCTGAGATTGTGAAATGCTGCTCTACACTTATAAAAAAGAAAGCCTACAAAATCATTAGAACATATTGATTAAGAAATTATTCTGCAGGAAAGGAAGTCTATATGTCCAGATAGGATATGTATACACAGCTTTTTTTGCTGTGTATGAAATGATTGTGTGACCATTGAACACTCCATGATCACTTGACTATTTCAGGAAGCACTGTTGTTTTAAAAGTTCTATAAATGGTGTCTTGTGCTGCACATGAAGTAAATTCAGTGTAAGAGAGAGATATTTCATGAATTTAATAAGATAAGCACAATTCATTTCCCCTCTTTCCCCTTCTGTTCCTCTTTTCATTTTTATCACAATCACGTGAAATTTGTATTTTAAAAAAGCTATTTTAAAAATTGGGGTAGGATTAATAAGCAGGAATAGAAAGATAACATGCAGGATAGGTTTTCTTCAGTGTTTTTTTTTTTTCCATTGCTTTCCTTAGGAAACACTGCCATTTAAAACCTAATAGACAGTATGGGAGACAGATTAATTTTCAGTTAGAAATGCAACAGTAGGGGGAAGATACAAAAGATACACTTCAGGATTTTACATGGACCCCTTTGCCATTGATTTTGGGGTGGAAAATGTTAAGTCCATTCATACATTTAACTTGGAATAAGAGGGGCTCACATTACTTTAGGCATTTAGTTGTTTTTTCTTTTCTTTTTAATACAGTATTTTGAAGTGATGGGATAGCCAAATGGGAAGATCAGTGG